CAACTAGAACTACTATAGATGCCAACCAAAAATGAATCCCGTGTGTGCAACTTTCCAATGACCGTGTCCAACTGAAAACAACTATTTGTGCAACTAGAACTACTATAGATGCCAATCAAAAATGAACCCCGTGTGTGCAACTTTTCAATGATCGTGTCCAACTGAAAACAACTATGTGTGCGACTAGAACTACTATAGATGCCAATAAAAAATGATCACCATGTGTGTAACTTCCGAATGACCGAATCTAACTGAGAACAATTATGTGCGTAATATCTAGAAGTAACATAGATGCCAATAAAAAATGATCGCTGTGTGTGCAACTTTCCAATGATCGTATCCAACTGAGAACAAATATGTGCGTAATTAAAACTACTATAGATGCCAACAAAAATGTGCAACTCCACGGCGCGCATGTGCAGCAATGTAGTTTCTTCAGAAAATAGAACAATAAAAGTCTGAATTTTTTGAAAACTTGATGTATTCCAACAGATGGGCCAGCATGTTCAGTACTTAGATAAACTACAGAGCTCAAATCAGCTGAATCCACTAGTACCTGTAGAGCATCAAAAATCGGCTGCAGAGCGATACGCGCCAAATCGACTACAGATCTGAAATGATCATATCCAACTCAGAACTATTATGTGTGCAACTATAATTATTGTTAACGCCAACAAAAAATTAGTAGCATATTATAGCTGCCCAAACACAATACCTCCGCTTCTTCTTTTGCTAAAATTCAGTAGCATATTCAACAGCCCAAAGCACATACATAGCACCATCTTCAGTAGGAAAAGAAAATTCAGCAACACTCCATAGGAGCAACAACATATGCATCAACACAAAAATTCACTAGCACCGCGACCAAAGCAACGGTAGAACTCCAGCCTATGCTGGTCTTGCAACACGCATGAAGTAGGTCCCTGCTAGCTAGTGCTTTCCCTTCCCTTGTAACTTCCCTCCTGCGTTCAGAAATGCGTCAAGAACAAAAGCAACAAGAATCCCGTGTAATCTGTGCGATGGTAATCAGGTGCATGCTAAACCTTTTCTCAGTTGCTTCTTATTTTTGTCTTATTTTATCATCATCAAACAAGCAAGTGGGAGGGAATGGGTTCAATCAGGACGAAGGGGAATATACTCGGACGACATCAGAGGAAGGAGACGACGGCCGCATCTCGTCGAGGATGATGGCCATCCCGTCGATGCAGAGGCCATATCCCGTCGACGACGGAGGGGAACGACGACGATGGGACTGGATCCGGTAGGGGAAGGAGCAATAGGACGGTAGGCGGGATGTCGTGGTGGGGGCTGGTGGCGGCGCGGCCAAGCCTCCCCTCAGCCGGTGGAGCGCGGTGGCCAGCCGGTGGAGGTTTCTGGTGGTCGGTGTTGAGGGGAGACGCCAGTGAGCCCCCTCCGATCCAGATCTGTGAGGAAGGGAGAATAGACAGAAAAAGAGAGACGGGTTGGGAGAGAACAAGGGAGAGGTAGGTTGGCTGCCGACCAGATGGCACCTGAAGTGGGGACGGACGCGCGTGATAGAGATCGTGTGGTTCCCAGCCGGCCGCTCGATCGCGTCAAATCGTGCGCGGCCACTTTTTAGATTTTAGGCTTTTTCTTTCTTTTTTTATGATAGAGCAAACGTCGCTTGCGTCGACTCGAACGGGCAGCAGTTAGCAGGTCTGAACAATAGTTGATTTTTGGTGCTTTCTGTTTTGGCATAAACCGATCTGACTCCAGACCAACAGATCGCTAGGCCACCTGCGGCGCACATATGCAACTCTTATCTCCTCCAGACTTAAATCTCGCACTCCCAAATTCCAAAATTAACCAGCAGAATTAGCAACCCAGCCGGCGGCGGAATTTCTGAAGAGGTCGACAACTGTTCCGGCCCGGGTTATCTTGCGTGACTGTTCGGACAGCCAACCAGCGGAATCAATTGATGCTTATCAAGTTTCACTTTTGTATGATTCAAATCAAGGAATAACCCATTTACTGCCTTCGGTTGATCTGACCCGTCAGCCTTTGGCAGTTTTCAAAGCGGCTTAAAAAAATCACAATGCGAATCCGGGTCATAACAGCAGTCTGGCTTTGAAGCCTGCAGCGTAACCCTCTCGAACCTTAGACCTCATAGGTTATGAATCTAGATCAATGAATTTGAAGTTGATCTTCCAAACCGGCTATTCTTCATCTGGAACAATTGTAAACTTCTCGATCTCTGAGAGAAATCCCTCTAAGAACTCAACACCACCGTGCGCAGCCCCACGGTGGGCGCCAACTGTCGGGGAATTAACACGTCAGATGTCCTAGTGTGAGGACTTGTCGTGAGGCCAACGCATCTATGTGGCAGCTTGAGAGAGGTTGAGCGGAATCGAGAGGCGCAACACGCAAGACAAAGATTTAGACAGCTTCGGGCCCCAGGAAACATCATCCGGTAAAACCTTACATGCTGTTTGTGGCTAGGTCTCATTATCATCGTGAGGGAGTCACCGTAAACCGGCTCTCCCAGTTATGTCTAACCCTTAAGATTATTTCTCTTCTCCCTTTTGGGGTGCCCTGCTCCTCCTTATATATGTTGAAGGGGCGAGTTACATGTAGAGTCCAACTCGGATTAAGACTTAAACTATTCTGATTTCTCTTCATGGGCTTCTTAACGTCTTGGGCTTCATAACGTCTCAGGCTTCATAACCCCTGGCAACTGAGTTATCACTGTCTGCCGGGTTATGACTGGTGCCGGTTTATGATGAGTCTGCCGGTTTATCATCTGACTTAACTCCTGCCGGGTTATCAACACCTGCCGGTTTATCATCTGCCGGTTTACCGTCTGTCTCACCGTCCGCCGGTTTACCGAGTCCCGGCCGGGTTATAACTCCGGCCGGGTCATACCGCGGGGTATATCCCCGACATGCGGGGACTTGATTTCCCTCTAATCGGGTTTAAGTCCAATCCTGTCATAGTCTATGGTGACTCCCAGGGCGGTGATGCGATCTAGCAGTTCGTTCAAGGACGAAACATCTGCCGGATCCATCTTTTCGGAGTGTTTGAGGCTGATGCGGAGATGATGTTTGGTGATTTGAGGGGCCGCCTCTGGCTTAAAGGACGAGCAGGCACCCATGGTAAAACTGCCGAGTTGGAGGGTCTGTCCCGGAGCCAGGGCTCCTCCAGAGGTGATGTTGTCATTGATGACGAGGCGAGCCATTGATCCTTCCGTCGACGACACAAAGGAACTCTCAATGAAAGCACCAATGTCGGTGTCAAAACCAGCCGATCTCGGGTAGGGCGCCCTGTGCGTCTGAGGATCTAAGGTAACAGGAGACGGGGGACACGATGTTTACCCAGGTTTGGGCCCTCTTAATGGAGGTAATATCCTATTTCCTGCTTGATTGACTTTGATGAGTATAGGGGTTACAAGAGTTGATCTACCTTGATAGCCTCTATGGACTAAACCCTCCGGTTTATATAGACACTGGAGGGGCCTAGGGTTGTACAGAGTCGGTTTACAGAGAAAGGAAACTATACATCCGGACGCCAAGCTTGCCATCCACGCAAAGGAGAGTCCCATCCGTACACGAGGGAAGGCCTTCTACCTTGTATCTTCACAACCCATCAGTCCGACCCATATCGCATAGCCTTGACACCCGAGGACCCATAATCCAGGACTCCCTCACCCCCACCTCCAAAGATAGATGATGGGGTAGCCCTCCGGCGAGCACCTTCCTTCCCTCCGGCCTCCCTTCGACGAACTTCTTCGCCCATCTCAAAATCGACTAACCCAAAAGCTAAAGTTAGTCGACTGACGTTTAGCTAATTTGATAAATAAAACCAGCTAGATCGCATGCATATGTTTTGATTGAGTGAACTGAAGCATGCAACATGCAGCGTCTTCGACAGGGAATTGGTTGAGGGGCCGTGCTAAGCCGTCCGTCCCCCGACGGTGAGGGAAAAACCGGTTGTTTTCGTGACAAAATCTCACCTCTCTAGCCAAAAAATCATTGCAACAAATCTTGACAATGTATTTTTAGAAGTGTTACAAAAAATACAAAATAAGTAGTAATGTAACAAATCGGTGGTTATGCAACAATTTTTCACAAGATTTTTTCATGAAGGTATTATAACCGTGCAAAATAGTTTTGTAACAATTTGTAAAAAAATACCTGCAAAAAAAATAATTTGTAAAAAAGTAATGTCTATCTCTACTATTTTTTTTTTACTTAAGAAGAATGTAATGTCCCATGTTTACCTTTTTTTACACCACCTCGTTTTTCAAATTTCCCCGTATGATAATCAAATCATCATAATTTACTTACCTTCTGAGCCAATTCTAGTTTAGTTTACTTATCAAAATTCTCATCAAAATATAAGAAAAATCATGGGCAGAATTTGATGAACATATATTTACACATCACATTAATATGAACAGATAAATCACAAGCTAACATACTAAAAATATTTATATTCCATTGCAATGCACAAGCATTATCCTAGTTTTTTTTGACGTGCAGGCATTGTCCTAGTTTTTAACACCATATATTTTGCGCAAAAAAAAAAGAGTTAACACCATATATGTGGAACGGTGGTTAAGAAAATAACCTAGATTTACAACACATCTGAACTGTCCGATCCAGATCTTGAGGCACTTGTACTCAACCGGTCGACCCCTCGTGTATATAGGAACCCGCAAAACGAGTTCCGAACCCGTCGGAGTCCGTTCCCCTCTCACCCCGACCTGACCCACCCACCCCTCGCCGGCCCACCGCCACAGGTCGCCGCAATGGCGTACAACCCTTCGCGCGCGCGCCTCTCGCCGCCAGCTCCCGCGGCCCCTCGCCCCAGGAAGCGCGGACGCTCCCCCTCTGCTCCCGGCGCGGCGGTGTGGCGCGCGTCCGCATACGTCGCTCCTTTCGACCACCGCCGCCGCTGGCAGGATCCCGCAGGCGCGTCTGGCCGCGTCTGGCAGGGGTACCACGCGCCGCATGCTCCGGTGCCCTACCGGCGGTGGATCTTCGCGGACGAGGCAGCGACCTCGGGCTCAGGTATTCTGTTAGCTGCACATAGCTGTCGAGGAGATTGGTTACCTTTGCTCACCACTTGTTTGTGTATAGGTTGGTATATAAAATTGGCCCTTTGCATTAGGTATTACTAGTACTGCGCTACTGCTACCAGGAAATAGTAAGGAGCTAGTTTAACCAATTAGTTAGTAGAAATAATTCTCCAAAGGAAAAAAGGAGTAATTTTCCAATTAGTCAGCAGGAGTGAGCTAGAGCGTTGCATTAGGTATTACTAGTACTGCGCTACTACTTCTGTCGGTTGTGCTTAAGGAATCTCGAGACCTCTTCGCACCTGTTCTGGGAGTGCCCGATCGCCATCCAGGTGTGGGACAAGGTGGCCTCACGGTGGGGCTGCAACGCTCTAGCTCACTCCTGCTGGCGCGCGGGAAGGACTACGGGTGAGCGCGTTCAAAAGATCATCGGCCACGCCACCACAGGCAATAGCAGAGGGACCAAATCGCTGCTGGCTCTCGTCTGTTGGCAGATTTGGATTGAGCGCAACGCATGCACATTCAGAGGAAAGACTGCAAGCGTGAGGAGCATCACTGAAGCCTGCAGGCGGGACATGGAACAATGGAGGATCGCCGGAGCAAAATGCATGGAGCACCCGTTCGGGGACGTACCGTGAGAGATTGCGTACATAAGTACCCCTGCCAGCACAGGCTCATCCTGACCTGGCCTGTAATTTTCTTTCACCCCATGATCACTTGATCAATAATTGTTTTCGCTCTCTCTCTGCTTAATGAAACGAATGCCAGCCGAGCTGGATCTTTCAAAAAAAAGAAGGAAAAAAGGGTCTGTGAAAGTCAGAAGCTTCTACCCAGCCAGTGCAATCTCCCACAAAGTCATGACCTTTGTGTGCCCATCCGTTACAAAGTTGTATCAGTTTGGCTTGTTGGCTTGGAAGTGTGTTGCTTATTACAAAGTTATATCAAATCAGATTGGGTGCAATTGTGTTGCTGAGATGTAGGCATTCGTGCACTATTAGCTTTGTACTCATGATTTCTGTCTTTCTTTTGGTAGATGCATGCACAATCATGTCATACAACATCTTGGCGGATAACAATGCACGGAACCATCCTGACCTTTACTTGGACGTCCCTTGGGATGCTTTGAGGTGGGATTCGAGGAGAAGGCTTATTATCCATGAAATTAGGCACTGGGACTCTGACTTAGTGTGTCTTCAGGCAAGAACTCAACCTGCAAATTGGCGATGTCATCCTTCCACTGTACTCTGTAACACTTTGTGTTTGGAAAATAGGAGGTGGATAGATTCCGGGAAATCGCTGCAGAAATGAAGAACAAAGGCTATGAATGTAGCTTTAAGGTATAACACTATAACATTTCTCTTTCAAATTTCTGCCTTTCAAATCCTAAGCTGAGTGCCATGCCATCCTCAGGGGCGCACTGGGGATGCTAAAGATGGATGTGCTACCTTTTGGAAGTCAGAACGGTATGACTAATGCTACCCCTTCTCCGCTTGTTATCTTTATTGATTGGAATAAAGCAGCAATTTCATCCTTTTTCTTTGTTTGAACTGTAGGTTACGTCTGCTTGAGGAAGATAGTATTGACTTTAGTGAATTCAATCTACGAAATAATGTTGCTCAAGTATTAGTTTTTGAGGTACTTGGATTTACATCAAAGTACTAGTTGGTTCAGTTCATTAACTAAAGTAAGGAGTAATTTCTCATTTATCCTGGTAAGAGTTAGCAGATAATCGCTTGGCTTCTTCTGCTAGTAATGCTTTCCCTATTTGATATGGGCCTGAGACCCAAATAATGGGTAGAACTAGCTGGAAATAGAGAAGGAGGGGAGACTGGATTTTTTTTTCTGTGATAGTTTCATCTTTTCTTTGCGAGTCGAATACCTCTATCTGGAAACTTGCACCATGTATTATAATTATTTTAGCATTGCCTTGTGACTTCCTTTACATTGTGTAAATGAACCAAATGATGTACTACAATCGTGCATTTTCTAAGTAGCTTCCCAGCTCCATCTTTTGTATAATTTTTCTTCTTATTCAGGTCTCGGCTAAGTAACCTATGTTTTAATGTTGGCAGAAAATGGTTGTATTAATTTTTCTTTTCTTACATGTTTCCTTGTCAGCTTAACGGAACCCAAAAATTTGTACTCGGGAATATCCATGTTTTGTTTAATCCAAAGCGTGGAGATATAAAAATGGGACAGGTATGCCAGTTCTGTTAAAATCAGCATCATTTGTTTCATGCGTTTCTAATATCATTGTGTAGTCTTGTCTCAAGATGGTCTGTGTAATCCTCATTACCTGATATGAATGCAATGCACAGTTTGAAATGACTGTTGATCACTTCAAATTTGGCAGATATCTATTTACTCCTTCCAACTTTACCCAAATTATTGTTTACTCCTGATTCTCCTTCCTCCAGATCCGCATGCTACTGGAGAGGGCGAATGCTCTTGCTGGAAAATGGGATGGAATTCCTATTGTGCTGGCTGGTGATTTTAACAGCACACCTGAAGTACGTTTTAGTTGCTTCCTTGCATATATGTGCCTTAAGATTCTCACATAAAGATCATTACTTGTAACAAGTGTTTGGTTTCTGGAACTGAGATGGCATGTTACCGCTCCTGAGTGATAGTGCTCTAGATTGGCTGTGGGTCTAGGATGGTACAGTTAGAGTATTAATTTGTAAATAGGTTTTTAAATATTTTTTATCGAAATGTGTATCTCGTGATTTCAAGCTGACATTTTTTTTCATCGGTTCTAACTTTTCTTTTTTCTCTTCCTTGGAGCAGAGTGCCATCTACAAGTTCTTGTCGACAATGAAGGTGAAATATTGCATTAGATATTTCTTGCATATCCCCAAAGTTATAGTGGACTCTGGTTATTATAGAATTGATTGACAATGCATACAATGTGCTCTTTCGTGTGTCACCAGCTGAACGTTTCTTTGCATGATAGAAGGCAGTTGTCTGGACTGGATAGCTCTGAATTTGGTTTGTATTGTAGGTCAGAATTCTTTCTTGTCAGATCTTAGTTGACTTAGCGCGTCTCTTCGTTTTAAGACTTGCATCTACCTTCCTTGTAGTTTACTGAACTGCGAATGGAGTGACGAAGAAGTGAGAAATGCGACAGGGTCCTCAAATGTCATGGTCGCTAGACATCCGTTGAAGCTCTCTAGCTCTTATGCCATGTTAAAGGTAGTAATTTTCTATTGGAAACTGAAGCACTCTCTTCGACTATTCGACATATAGTTGAAATGAAGTGCCGGTTTATTTTAGGGAAATTCAAGCAATAGGGGTCATCATGGTGAACCTCTAGCAACGTCATATCACAAGAGGTTTCTTGGGACTGTTGATTATTTGTGGTACGCTTTTAATCGTGTCTGTATCTTATTCTATACATATACAATGTGGCTGAGCCTCTTTGTTGAAGGTATACTACTGGGCTTGAATGCTCCAGAGTTTTGGACACACTACCTGTGGACGCTTTGAGGAGAACGAGGGGTCTTCCAACCAGGGTACTTCCTCATTTAATACATCATATTAGTTAGACAAATCTTTATGTGAAAAAGGACTATATGGTTTAAACTTTGGGTCGTGTCACGATTCGAGTTTTGGCTGTAAATTTTCTGTTATGCACAACGTTCATATTTAACTGCTAACAATGATGTCATGCTGGAAATTCGTCAGGAAATGGGCAGTGATCATCTGCCAATTGTTGCTGAATTCATCTTCTCAGAACAGACCAGAGATGCATCCGAGCAAGAAGATGAATCTGCAGGAGAAGCAATCACGTCAAAACACATATATTTCTCCTCAGACAGTGACAGTTAGGCTGATGCAAGTTAGTTATTCAATTGGTAGGAAAGGTTTAGGATAACCGACTCGGAGGGCACAGCGCACAGCACATCAGAGTATGCACGGCGGTGACCATACCAGTCAGGATTCAGATGCAGAAATTATCTTATCTATCGTAAGGCTATGTCATATCCTTGCCAAACACGCTGTGAGTGAATGTGCAAGGTGTTTAGCCAGAACCTGTAGTGGATTCCAGTCATGCTGCTTCAGGCTGCTGATACGGATCAGAATCAGGTGTGTGGAGATGATGTCTCCAATGCCAAGGTTATGGCCAAACGCTCGAGTGTTCTCCGCAAGGTATACAAATATTTGTCAGTTTAGCATTTGGTACTCAGTGTATCTATTCTCCTATTTTGCGCAGAATATTGACACGCTATTGTTATGATTTAACGTGCAGTCTGTACATTACGACTGTAGTGTACTCGTTCTGTCTATACCCTGCGTTTAGACTGCTACGTATATAGGAGGAGACTAACCAAACGTTGCATATATCCTGTAATAAATTATACTATTATAGGAATTGCTGTCATCAATGAGGCCAGGTTGGCTTTAGTAGGGGAGTTGTGTGTCCGTCGGTGGCTAGCTGAATTTTAACTATGGTCTCAAGTCACTTTTCTAGCCCTCCGATCGTCACGCTAAGATTCGTGATAGCTTTTGTTTGTTATCACGGGAGCGACGGGTGTGCGGCTCATACGGGGGCTGCCCATGTGTGTGTTATTAGAGAATAAACCGTGCCGGGTTTGTGCCTGTGATCACCGGCGTGTGTGCGCTTGTATCTAGGTCTAGTTTAGATGGAGTCTGAGTCGAGCCGGTGCGTAGCTGGGCTGACGGTCGTATGGCGATCGTGGGTTGTTGCAGCGGGCGCTAGTGATCTTGTGGTGGTGAGCAGGTCGTGAAGACCGGATCGCCAGGGCGTGCGCGCGGTGCGCCAGTTGACTGGATCGCTAGGGAGGTGAGTCCAGGTTTGTAGCCCGCGGACCGCGGTGGTTTGTCCAGCGAAAGAAAAATCAGGGCGTTCGGCGTCCAAGCTTAAGTCGCCATGTCCATCGTCCCGTATATGGTGCCGAAGGGAGCACGGTGTCTCTCGCCTTGACAATGCTCACGCCGGAAAACTACACGGTATGGGCAGTCAAGGCGGAGGCGATCTTCGACGCGCAGGGGTTGTGAGAGGTCGTGGCGCCGGCAGACAGCGCGGCGGCGGTCGATGCAAAGAAGAACAAGACGGCGCAGGCTCCGCAGCTGGGCGCTTTGCTGGAGGACATCTTGATGCAGGTCTCGACGAAGAAGACGACGAAGGAGATCTGGGATAGCATCAATGTGCGGTTCGTCGGGGCTGATCGCGTCAAGGCGGCGCGGCTCTCCACCCCTCCGTGGCGAGTTCGATCGGCTGCGGCTGGACGACGGTGAGGAGCTGGACGCGTATGCCGGGAGGATCGGCGGCATGGCAGCTTGGTACGCTAGCCTTGGATTGACGCTCGGTGACGCGGCGATGGTGAAGAAACTCCTCAACACGGTGCCCGACCGGTTGTACGCCGCGGTGGCCGGCATCGAGCAATTCTGCGACGTTGACACGATGGCGTTTGAGGAGGCGCTGGGTCGGCTGAAGGTGTTCGACGAGCGTTCTCGGCGGCGAATGCAGGACGACTGAGGGCGCGGCGCGACCAGTTGATGCTCATGGCGGCCTAGTGGGAGGCACAATGCCATCAGCGCGGCAACCACAACCACCACCATGATGACGGCAACAGTGTGGCCTCGAGCGCAAAGAGGCGGCGCGGAAGTGCTAAAATTATGGCGTTCGTGGCCACTTCTCCCGTGACTGCCGGCAGCCAAAGAAGGAGAAGGCTCTCCTCGCCGACATCGACGACGAGCCGGCCCTGCTGTAGGTCACGGTTTAAGGGGAGAATGTTAGAGAATAAACCGTGTCGGGTGTGTGCCCGTGATCACCAGCGTGTGTGCGTTTGTATCTAGGTCTAGTTTAGATGGAGTCTGAGTCGAGCCAGTGCGTAGTCGGGCTGACAGTCGTATGGCAATTGTGGGCTATTGCAGCGGGCGCTAGCGATCTTGTGGTGGTGACCAGGTCGTGAAGACTGGATCGCCAGGGTTGCAACTGCATGTTTTCAAGATGGGTCGTAACTGCATGTTTTCAAGACGGCCGTAACTGCATGTTTTCAAGGTGGGTCGAAACTGCATATTTTCAAGAGGGGTCGCAAGTGTATGTTTTTAAGACAAGTCAAAGCTGCATGTTTTTAAGGCAGGTCGAAACTGCATGTTTTCAAGGCGGGTCACAACTGTACATTTCCAAGAGGGGTCGCAACTGAATGTCTTTAAGGCGGGTCGTAATTGCATGTTTTCAATAGGGGGTCGCAACCACATGTCTTCAAGGCGAGATCACATGCATGTTTTTCAAGAGGAGATGGTAAGGCATGTTGCAACTTGAAAGGATCGAGAAGAGGTGTCTAGAGGAGGGTGGCGTGATTAGACACTCAACACACAAAGTTGACAGTTTTTAAGTTTCTCAAGTTTAGGTGGAGATTTAGCATAAGTTTAACCATTCACAATACATATCAAGTAAGCATGCAAATAGTATATGAGCAGCGGAAAGTAAAGCATGCAACTTGCAAGAAAGTAAAGGGATGAGATTGGAGTGTGTAAACACAATTGGACACACGGATGTTTTTGTCGTGGTTCCGATAGGTGGTGCTATCGTACATCCACGTTGATGGAGACTTCAACCCACGAAGGGTAACGGCTGCGCGAGTCCACGGAGGGCTCCACCCACGAAGGGTCCACGAAGAAGTAACCTTGTCCATCCCACCATGGTCATCGCCCACGAAGGACTTGCCTCACTAGGGTAGATCTTCACGAAGTAGGCGATCTCCTTGCCCTTACAATCTCCTTAGTTCACTCCACAATCTTGTTGGAGGCTCTCAAGTGATACCTAACCAATCTAGGAGACACCCCTCTCCAAAAGGTAATAGATGGTGTGTCGATGATGAACTCCTTGCTCTTATGCTTCAAATGATAGTCTCACCAACACTCAACTCACTCTCATAGGATTGGATTTTATGGAAAGATGATTTGAGTGGAAAGCAACTTGGGGAAGGCTAGAGATCAAGATTCATATGGTTGGATTGGAATATCTTGGTCTCAACACATGAGTAGGTGGCTCTCTCTCAGAAAATGAGTAGTGGAAGTGTAGGCACGATCTGATGGCTTCCCTCTATGAATAAGGAGAGGGTGGAGGGGTATATATAGCCTCCACACAAAATCTAACCGTTACACACATTATACCAAACTCAGTGGGACCGAATCAGAAAACTCGGTCGGACCGATTCAGTACACATGTGACCGTTAGGCAATTTTTGTGGGACCGACATGATCAACTTGGTGGGACCGATGTGCAAGGGTTAGGGTAAAACCTCATCTCGGTTTGACCGATTACACAACTCGGTGGGACCAATTTGGTAATAAGTAAAACAGAGAGTTGGTCAGGCAAACTCGGTGTGACCGATTACATATTCTCGATGGGACTGAAAATATTCTAATAGACAACAGAGAGTTTGCAAGCCCATCTCGGTGGGACCGAGATCCCATCGGTGTGACCGAACTGATTAGGGTTTCTTGCAGTGGCTATGTCAAATGAACTCGATGGCGCCGGATGGATCAAATCGGTGGGTCCGAGTTTGACTTTTGGTTTTGGACATATGTGGATATGAGAAAGTGGTTGAGGGCTTTGGAGCATATCACTAAGCACTTTGAGCAAGCAAGCCATTAAGCAACACCTTATCCCCTTTTAATAGTATTGGCTTTCCTATGGACTCAATATGATCTTGGATCACTGAAATAGAAAATATAGAGTCCTGAGCTTTGAGCTTGAGCCAATCCTTTGTCCTTAGCTTCTTGAAGGGGTTCCACATCCTCTTGTCCATGGCACTCCACTGTTAAACTTATCTGAAATATACTAGATGAAAGTATTAGTCCAACAAGAGATATGTTGACATTAATTACCAAAATCACCCAGGGAGCACTTGTGTAACACCCACGATGCGGCTATATCTCCCACGTGTCGAAGCACGACTTAGAGGCATAACCGCATGGTGGTTTTGTCGCAAGAAGGGTCATCTTCACACAATCCCATGTAATGAACAAGAATGGGATAAAGAGAGTTGGCTTACAATCGCCACTTCACACAATACATAATTAAGATCATACATCATTCAAATACACTCATAGACCGACTACGGTCAAGTTCAAATGAAAAGAAGACAACCCCAAATGCTAGATCCCCGATCGTCCCGACTGGGCTCCTCTACTGATCATCTGGAAATGATACATAGTAACGACCAAGGGCCTCATCAAATTCCCACTTCAGCTCAGTTGCGCCAACTGCGCCAGTATCCTCGGCACCTGCATCTGTTTTGGTAGAATCTGTGAGCCACGAGGACTCAGCAATCTCACACCCGCGAAATCAAGACTATTTAAGCTCATAGGTAGGTAAGGGGTAATATGGTGGAGCTGCAGCAAGCACTAAGCAAATATGGTGGCTAACATACGCAAGTGAGAGCGAGAAGAGAAGCAACGCAACGGTCAAAAAACTAGAATTGATCAAGAAGTGATCCTAAAACTACTTACGTCAAGCATAACTCAAACCGTGTTCACTTCCCGGACTCCGCCGAGAAGAGACCATCACGGCTACAAACACGCTTGATGCATTTTAAAGAGGTCAAGTGTCAAGTTATCTACAACCGGACATTAACAAATTCCCATCTGCCTCATAACCGCGGGCACGGCTTTCGAAAGTTTATATACCCTGCAGGGGTGTCCCAACTTAGCCCATCACAAGCTCTCACGGTCAACGAAGGAATAGACCTTCTCTCGGGAAGACCCGATCAGTCTCGGAATCCCGGTTCGCAAAACATTTCGACAATGGTAAAACAAGACCAGCAAAGCCGCCCGATGTGCCGACAAATCCCGATAGGAGTCGCACGTATCTCGTTCTCAGGGCACACCGGATGGGTCAGC